AGCTTCTGGAGAACCTTTTCATCACCTTTTCTATTTTAAGACTGGATAGGCCATGTTCAACATCTCTAGTGTATCACCCCTGAGCTTTTGTCATTAAAACAAGATTGTGTCAAGGATATCCAACTTCATCATCCATTTCTTCTTTAAATAGAACATAGTTGTGCTTTCTAAGTTCCAGTTAAAGAATTTCAGTAATTCAGTCAATAGCTCTTCATTATTTCAGAATCAAACATATCCACTGCATGAACTGCTATTTCTCTCTAAGTATTAAGATCATCCAACTAGATGTTATGATTTATTATGATTAATTAATTAATTATTAGTTGCACTTTTGTGCAACTAATACACTATATGGAACAAATCTTGCTGTTAGATCTCTTTTTTATTATCTTTTTATATGTAGTTTACTAAAAAGCAATCTAAGATATTATAATTAAAAAATAAGTGGCTTTTCAGTGATAATTTTTCAAGTACTTCAAGGAAAGTTTTCCAAAAAACTGTAATTACCAGATATACATGGTGTAGTATATTTGGTAATGACTCCCCTATGACTGGGCAGGATGTTGTTAGGAAACTTGTGGTTCACCATCAAAGCCATATTTGACGAGAGACTAAATACACATTTTGTAATTTTTTGTTTGTTTTACACTGTGATATAAAAGGTGTCATCTGTGTTTTCTATGAAGTCTTGATATAAGMATGTTATTAGGTAGTTAAGGAAGCTGATGGAACTAATTTAAAATTATACAAGACAACTGAGTTGGATTGTGTGTTTGTATATATATATATATAAATATATATAAAATGGGAGTATAACCTCCATATTTGGGTTACAGAAATAAATTGTAGAGAAAAAATACAGGATAGGAAGAACAGTTAAATGAGTAGATCTGAGCTTCTACTTCTTGTCTATAATGTCTTGAAAACAAATCTTTGCYGTAAAATCTCATTATGGTTATTTGAAAAGCATGTGTACCTACAAGCAGAGAATCAATGGCAATTATTAATTGCCATAGTGGTGATTAATAGCAGTGTCCTTTGGAAAGTTCAGCAGCATAGTTTAGTTGCAACATTTTCAAGAATTCATTGATATTATGCTGTACAACAGTACTTATTTTTACAATAACTTTCTATTGAGATGTAGATGAATTTGGTTTTTAGGTACTCAAATTCCCTTTATATTGATTCTGTATCACTGGGAGGCAAATAAATACATTACAAAGGAGGTTTATTAGCCTCATTTTTTATTTTTTTCAACAATAAAACACAAGGAATAATTTTACAAGAGAAAAAATGCAGTGCAGAATGTTGTGATTTTACTTTCTTAAGAGAGGATACAAAATTCAATGCTATTCTAGTGAAGTAAAATAATGAGCAATGGCACATTTTATTCTTTTGCTCTGATTTTTTTTTCCCTGGATGGCATCACCATATAAATAACAGTCAATCCAAAAAATTAAAACAATTAGATAATGTAGGACCATAGGCTCTATACATGACCCTAACTCCAACCTATCTGCTCCCCATGAGATGAAAGATGTTGGTTCCAAGTGAAGGTGAATTCACCTGTAGCAAGGGCCCCAAATGACACCGAACAGGCACTGTAACTGAAGCAGCTGCCAAGGGGAATTGCTCTATTGCAGATGGGGCTTTCCACGTCTTCCTGAATATAAAGGGGAGATCAACAACCTGTAGCAACAGCTTCAGACTGAAGCATTTCAGTGTTCTTGCTTTCTTCCAGAAAAGCTCTGTGCTGCAGAAAGCTTTGGCCTGTGCCCTCTAACAAGGTACTGAAGTGCTGAAGTTAGGACTGAGCTGGGCTGGGCTTGCTCCACAGCCAGCAGCCTTGATTACACATCCAAACTCTCATTTTAGTTTTTATTTGAATGAAAAAAATGCTTAATTCACTGGTTATTAGAACCCTATTATGACCCTAGTATTTCCTTTTATAGGACTAAATCTTACTACATGCTGTTTTATATTACTTGTGCCTGCCAAATTTCTATGAGATGTTCTAGAAGTTTGCAATCGTGATTTCAGTAGACTTTTCTGTTGCAAATTGTGCAAAGGAATACAATACAGGTCTTGCAGTACGGTGTAGAAAGTGCTTTTAGTAGTTTAGTCTGTGTGAGAGTAACGTGCTATTGTGATATTCCCTTTACATACTAATACTTTAAATAGATACTACAATTGAAAATGTGATAACAGGACAAAAGTGAAAATGGAGAAAGCACCATGATATAAAACAGGAAAGCAGTGTGGTTACGTGAAGCTTTTTGTTGCTTTTACAGTGCAAAGTGGAACTAAAAAGAATGGAAATCTGATCTCAAACATACTCTGCAATGATATAATACTACTGTATTTTTATGTAGTCCTTATCTAGAGAAATGGCCTRTTCTATTAATGCATACTATTCAGTTAGGCTGATCCTGTGAAGTTAAAACATGAAATTTCATCAGAAAAACTAAAAAGTTCTGTTTGACAAGCTATCGTAACTGAAAAGTAAAATGCTTAAAAAAAGTATGCTACAAAAAGATGTGAGCTGCATAAATTAGAGTGATAAATTTTATGAAGACAGGAAAATAGACCTTATGGCTAACAAACAAGGTGAATAATAATAATTAAAAAATTCCTTTTGCTACCACAGACTTTTGCTATTTGTCCATAAGCAAGTCCCTTCGCAATTCTGTTCCTTCACAAAACCAACAGGATAATATTACTGCTGGGTCTCTAGAGAGGTACTCTAAGGCTAAAACATAACTGAGGCATTCAGATCCCAGGGTGATATGTAATTATGTCAGAAAAACTGTCATAATGTTACATTAAAAAAAAAACTGCATCTTGCATTAGAATGAATATATTTCTGCAAATATTAATTTACCTTCACCACTTAACAAGTAGATTTTTGCCTTCCTTCAAGAATRACCTAATTTGCATTATCAGTGAAGCAAGGATCTTATCCATGACTCTTCTACTTTATTTTTTGCCTCCATTTAAGCTGTCATTCCATGCACAGATCCCSGATAACACATGTTGCCGATGGCTGCAGCTCGGGCACCCTTCCAGGTGCGTGTGACTCAGGTGCAGCAACTCTGGTGACCTCCGTGCAGCCCTCACAAGCTCTGCAAGGAACCCCCAGAGCTCCCTGCCACCGAGGACTTTGTCCTCTGCTCCGATTCACTCCACTTCATGCAAACTGCTGCTAATAACCGGGTTAGACACAAGCACAAATTACAAATGATTTCAAACCCTGTCATGCTTGTTGTATTCACACAAGTTTCAGCCTTTCGCAGTAATTTCTAATTCAGGAACTAGATAGAAGGGACTTAAGAGTGACAACATCTTTTAAATAATAAAACACCTTCTGGCACATTTCTAGAGTTGCAGTCACAAGAATGTATAATGCAATCTACCGCCTATTCTTAAAAAAATATATATATATTACTACATCTTAAACTATTACAAAAAGTCAGTGGAGCCTATCAATGGGGAAACGAAGAATTTTTTCATATCAGTGAGAATTGTACCAAAAAAGGGAATAATTTATGCTGRCTTCAGCAAGACAAAGGCATTCCCACAAATAAGTGTATTTATCAGTGTATTTATAAGTGTGCTCTTCATTCTTTTTTATTAATTGGCAATCTTGCATCACACTGATGCAACACTGCACTTTGCCTGCTGRCCTCCACTTTCCATTGCTAATTTTATGTTTCTGAAATGAATGTGAGAAGGTGTCAAGGACAACCACATAATCCATGAACCCTTGTTGCAGAAGGAAAACAAGTGTGTGAAAGAAAGGAGGCAGAAATTTGCTGTTAAACTAAATGTTCTAAATAGATTTAAAGAACTACTATCTACATTTCAGTGTTTTGTTATATAATTTTTTAGTCTTTGACACAAAATAAACATCATGTGTTAAGTGCTTAATATGTAAATYCTTCATCACTTCTTAAACTTAAAAATGACAAAGATGAGGTGTGACTGATAATACTAGAATAAGCTTGGCAGTGCTAAGTTTTCTATCTGTGCTCTTTTGTTAATTATCACTTTGTACACTTTAAACTTCGATTAAATAGATACACAAGAAATTTACAGTGACAGTTCATGAAGCACCCTACTAGCTACTCCAAGATATACAGCAAGAGTCAAACTTTCAGGGTACTTCTTAAGCATTTTCTCTATAAATACAGACACTTCATTTTGCAGATACAATTGTGTCTTCGCTTCTTTAAGTACAGTGTGCAATCACATGGGTTTGGTTAAATTTTGTGCATACATTTTTAGGCCTGCAAAAAATTTGTTTCAAGTCCAAACAGTTATGTGATTTAATGGCTCAATCCTTAATCCTTTTGACAATAAAAATCTTTCTTGAGGTATCCTGGGTATAGCTGGACACACTAAAATGAGCAAAAGAGAAGTCCATAGAATTTCAGTATTTTTTTTCCACACATAATTATGCAGATGCTTCTACTTTATGAATAATCATTGCAAMAATATATCATTCATATAGCTTTTGATGCATTCTCAAAGTTTGAGCTTTCTGCTTCTAGAAACTAGCAATAAGATGGAAGTTTTGGATATAGTGTTTTTTTCCTTTTGAAAATCATGAAATGTGTTAARAGATTGCATTGCTACATACAAACATATTTGATGCATGATTTGGGATGAAAAATGATTTGACCTATATGTATATACATATAAAAATATGAATAGGCATTTTTCCCCCATTAGAAAAAAAACTTAGAATCTTCGAAGTGAGTTACTCTCCAAAAATGAGTAACATAAAGTTATGTCCTTGAGTATCACAAAATACCATCAGGCTGTTTCCTCTTCCTTTGCATCATTCACCTGGGTGTTCAGGTTTTTTGCTTGAAGTTGAAGTCCTGCTTGCTTTCTTTCTTTTCTTTCTTTCTTTTTTTTTTTTTTTCCTCCTTCCTTCTTCTTTCTTTTTTATTTTAAAGCACTGGAGTTTAGAAAACATTGTGAATACTGAATGTATATTTGAGTTTGTAATTTTAGAGTCACATATTTGTGGCAGACCTGAGAAAGAATTTATTTATTTATTTTCTTCATTTCTTCATTTTCTTCTTAAGTGGTCTTTTGAAAAATCCAGCCTAAAGAAGAGAAAGTAGTATTCAGTAAATAGGCTACTGAGACCATACAACTTGGTACGTATTATTAGCATTCATATGCTGCTTCTTATTGCTGTGTTAATGTTTATCCATAAATTAGAAAGTCGTTTCATTCTTTATCTGTGAAGTACAACAATGTTTTTCCTGGAACGGAAAAACTAAAGGGACATCTCATGAGAGCAGGAAATTGAGTACAGTTTGTATACAGTGAGTGATTGCTGAATCATTGTTATTCTAACCAAATGTCGCAGACTAACCAGCTTCAGTAGAGCTGATACTCAACTGAATAAATAATACTTTATTTTATAGTTGTTAGTATTTTCAGGAGAGCATGCATGTTGAAATTTGTAAGAGGTAGCCTAACTAAGCATTAACTGTATATTTAGCTTGGAGAAGACTGCCCACTTGTGGCAATCCTTAAAGTACAGGCTTCAGTACCTTTAGTGCAAAGAGAAAATGGCTAGGTTAAACAAATGTCACAGCTCGCAGTAAAACAAGAATTGTTGCAGCACTAAAATCTGTTTATATTTGTCTATTTGTAATACGCTGCCAGCAAAGTAACATCCTGAAAGATGCCAAATAGAGAGCACTGCATATTGCACTTCAGAAAAATGAAGTTTTATTCATTTACTGGTTTAGAAGATCTCATTCTGTTAATAGATAATATTAGTGTCTGTGAATAAGGAAGAGAATTTAAGAATATTCTTTATTGTCATGAAGACAAGAAAATGCAACTTACCTTCCATAAAGCAAATATCAGCAGTGCAAGTATCAGGAGTCCAGCAAAGACACTCAGAAGGATAACCCATAACGGGACAGAACCCGGTTGCAGCTCTTTAGAAATCTTAATCATGGTCTGCATGGCGTTAAGAGTGTAAAAAAAAATATTATTTTCCTTTAAAGTATCAATAGAACTTTAATCAGTAGATACCGATTTTCCAGCGTACCATTTCATTTTAAATTAAAAGATTCTCAGATATCAAACTTTGTACTTATATCGCTCACAGTATATATTAATTTAATGAACATAGGCTCCTCTGCAAGTCAGTAATTATTACTATAAAGGATTGAGGGAAGACACTTAAATTATGAGTATTAAAACTATATATTACAGAGGTTTTTTTTTTTTGGATAGAGTCTTAATCCCTCAATGTCTGCATTGTAAAAGATGGCAGTAATTAGCAAAGCCTCTAAACAAAATAAATTAATATAAAAGGTTGTATGGATACTATCTTACTTTTAAGACAGGAGTGTTTGATGTAAACTATATTGAAAAAAAGGAACAGCATGTACCTTTACAGCATGTAGCAATCAGTTCCCTAGCAGTCAATGATAATGAATGATTCAGTAGGATAAAACCTGCGAAGAATAGATCTAAGAACTATCATGTGCTTACCTCTAGTTTTTCATGGTCTTTTCTCAAAATCAGTGATGAATTTTCACTTCTAAGTAATGCTTTTACAACAAGGGTTAAGCTGTGAATACTTGCCTGAAAGTAGAGAGAAATGCCTAGTTGATATTTTGTTTATATAAAGTTTATACTTGGTATTTTGAAGTAGACAGCTATGTAGAAGTATCAAGGGTGAAGGAAGACTGAAGGATAAACAATAAAGTTTTGTGATGGRCACATATATGGGGGGGGAGCTTTGTTGCCACTGTTAAATAAAATCGGACAGATCASCAATTTTACTATTGAAACTAGAAGAGTTTCAATAACTATCATAGAAACAAAAAAAAGGGCATACAGGGAGCTCTGGCCCACCAGGACAAACTATCCAGAATCCTCAACATGTGCAAGGATGAGCCTCAGCAAGGGACTGAACTACTGGGACTGAAATAAGAAGCCTGAAATTAAACTTGAGAGGGTTTTTGTTTTTAATTTATTTAAATTAGGAGTTTAAAATTAAACCTTGTGCTGCTGCGGCAAAACATGCGTGTATAAATGTCAGTGAAAGTTCTCCYATGTGCCAGCACACGCCACAAGACAGCAAAAACATTTTGAGAGAGCAAAGATCAGAGATGTCAGAGAAACACTGATGAATCTTGACTCCTTTGACCACAGAGATGGGCTTCTCAAAAAACCTACAGTTTGGAGATTCCCCTCCCACCTGTTATAGTCCAGAAAAAGCCAAAGATTTAAAAGCCAGTTTAGTGTCAGAGAGTCATCAGCTGAGCAAAATAAAGTGCAGGCTCGTGATTATCAGAACCATTAGACAATTCTGAGCTGAGTCCACTCTGAGGTCTCCTTGCTCTCCTTTGTCTGCTCCTTTAGATCATAACCTCTTTTTAAAATGGAGAAACCTTTCCAGATTATAACTTAATAAAAATAGTAAGTTTCTATGCGCATCCTCCTTACTTCTGATGAATTATAATTTTTGGATGCATAACTAACCAATAAAACAAAACCAAACCCCAGCATTATAGAAAATATTAATCCACATGTTCTAACAGGTGTTTTCAATGTCATGTTAAATTTATAAAACAGCWAGAGAAACAATTTCAAATTCTAGGGCACTGTTGATATCTAAATTGATTAAAGATATTATTTCAAAAGGACATTATAATGTCTTAGTTTTTTCAAACCCAGGAGTATTATAAATGCAAATGGGATTTACTTACTTTTATGATGGTAGCTTTCCATACTCTGAATGAAACATTCACTTGAGTAATGTCMGATGGGACCAGGGCACAGTTTATAAATGCACAGCCGAACGTATCACAGTCCTGTTTAAAAGTTACCAGCATGAATTAATAGTAAAATATTTTTCATATTACTAAAATAAAAACATGTAAACACACTATGAAGAAATAATCAAGATGATGGGATGTCAACATGAACATTTCTGTACCAGTTGTCTAGAAAATCTCTCAGATCACAATGGTAGCATTTAAAAGCATTTTTTAACTGAGTAACTTTTAAGAGAGAGAGATGAGAARCGTTTAAAATACTGTTATTAAACACAACAGAAATACAGAAGGTGAAGATTTACTCAGCTATCAAATGTGCTACCATGATTTAAACATGTACTAAAAATTGGTCCAGAATCCCTCTCCACATACGGTTCTGTAGCCAGAAATAATAAAAAATATATAGTCAGTGCTCTGTCAAAGATACATTTTCAGGCTACTAAGACAAACAAAGTTTGTTTCCATGSAGTTTGAGAGACATTTTTTGTATATTTACTGCAGAACTAATCTGCTCAAAAAATCTGGATTAATATCTATAAGAAATATATACACTTTGTGCAGGCTTACCATAATTGTATCTTTCATAGGTTCTTTTATTTTTTGCAAGACAAATGGTCTCCTAGGGCTGATCTTTAAAGGGTCTATAGGGTGACTAGTTTGGCAGAAAGCATTCTGTTAGAAAGAGGAGAAATATTATTTTATAACCTAAATACCAAGTCTTAAAAAAATACCACACAAAAAAAGCTTAAACTTTAAAATTTCCTGTAAAGTCTAAAAGCTGTGTGTCACAGTGTGCTCTTTCCCCATTATCCCAAATCCATAAACAGCATATAAACAGGGGCTAACTACACATGCAGCCATCCCAATACTGCTGRTACAAAAATATGGCTATGACTATGAGTCAACTCTCTTACTCCATAAATAGGAGGCAGCCCAGAACTGCCTCCTGTTGAGCTCTCCTTGCTTCTTGAGCAGAGATGCCTCTCAAGGCTGTGAGATTCCTTACCCTTGACAGATGCTCAGTAAGTGATTAACGGCATGCCAAACTTTGCAAACTTTGCTAAATTGCATCTCTGATTGATTGTGCACATAATCCTTGAGATATAAACTGCTGACCAAGTCTGGGACGAAGATTGGATCCAGCTGCAGCCAGACTCCTCTGAGGAGGCGTTTGTAGAGCAAGGAGGTCCAGTCTGAACTTCATGACTCAATGAGATGGTCCCCTTGACATTTTGGTCTGACCCTGCTCTCCATGCAGTAAATAACTGAGTGTGTCTTGCCATCAAATCTTGTTAAATCACTGTTTTATCTGCCATCAAACTTTGTTAAACCACTATCTTATCTCAGTAAAACATATTGCTGCCTCTCTTTTCTGAGTGAAGCACATCACTCATCTGTGACATTCTGTAAGCAAGTTAACATTAATATTTACTAAGTGTACTAAGTAGCTACATGCAATAAAACTGCACGCTGTGGGAGAGAAGAACAAATTCCGATGGCATAGCTACTGAAGCACCATTTTTAAATAACTGAAGATAATGAGGTAATTTAGCCTATACTCTGCCCAGCTACTTAAACACCTACTGTAGAAGCCAATACGAGCTTCCTCCAAGATGACTGCTATATGAACCAGCAAGAGCTGGCTAATTAAGAGAAGTGTTCTAGATTTAAATACCAGGACTAAAGCAATCTCAGTAAAAACTGCTAATAAAGGAGATAACAAAACAGGCTCAGTAGGCAAAGCAAAGCAAGAAACTTCCATCCCTAATATCCCATCTCTTGTCACTTAATATATCAAATTAATCTCAGTATCTCCAAATTAGCATTCAACGCTTTTTTAAGTTTCCTTGCTTCCATTTGAGAAACTTTATTTCTGTCTTCCTAGGCAAAACTTTACTTTCTATTAAAATACTAGCTGCTTGCCTTTTAGAATAAAATCAAGATTAACCTTGAAGCTATGCATAAATCTAAGTCCTTTTTGCAGTTCCTTGCAACAAAAAATGTTTCAAATTTAAAATATCAATAGTGAAAACAAATTCCTAGCTTACGTTGGAAGTTGACAATGCAGTAAGGTAGAGAAGTGGGTTCTTGACTGACGTTTCATTGGGAAATAAGATCTGCAGTGTAAGGTTTGGCATTGGAAAGTGTTCACCTTTTTCAATCTGCAAGAAACAAGAAAAATATATAGTTTTTGGACTTAGTACTTTCCTTATTTTATTGTTATATAATTTTGGGGTTTTCCTTTTCTGTGGTGTTTTTTCTTTTGTGTTTTTTACCCCCTCTACCTTGACCATCAGTCATGCCAAAGTGAGTGTGATGAACGCCCCTACCTTTTCCCCAAGAGCAGTCTGTATGAATTAGCAGACACATTCTCTTACAGTCTTTGCAATAAAATGTTTTATTCAAGGAAACAAAAAGAACAGAAGGGAAGGGCTATTTTGACATCAATTCCTTCTTTACATCTTGTTTATTGTATCTGCTTAAAATCTGGAACTTCTAGCTAAACTAATATCCTTTTAGTTCAACCACAAGTGTGCTTAGGCAACATCCTGCACATCCCCTCCTTTCCCCCTCTTTTCCCTGACAAGACATGCATTCCCCAGGCCACAGGACATAGTTATAACCTGCAGGTCCTTCTTAGCAGGCCCCCATTCTTTTTTTTCCCTTCCTTCTGATATCTTAGTAATGATTAGGTGCTTACAGAKATGAGCTACTCTTACTAGATCCTAAATTATATGCTCTTCAGTCCAACAGCTCCCTTTTATATTCAGAAAGGAAAGATGTGGAAATCAGATGAATGTCTCAAACATCCACCAAAAGCCTTGGAATTACTGGATTTAGACTCTTAAACTAAAAAGAGAAACTAAGTAAACATTATAGCGGAGTTAGAATATACAATAAAACTTTTAACCTTGCTACAAAGGTCCAGCTCTCTCTRTGTATCTCATGTTTTATAGACTGAAAGTTTATTTTGGAGAGACTTCCTCCTCTTTGTATATTGGATCCTTGTTCAGCTTTGGGAAACAGGGATGCTTTTGAAATAACTAAGTTCAGTCCTATTTCCCCTTGAGACACAGCTTCTAGTCTACCAAATATATTTTCCATTCCAAATTATTTTAGCTTATAATTTTCTGTCAATTAGGAAAACCACATTMCTAGAGCATTTTATTTCTCTTTTTAAAAGCTGATAGGTTTTTGAAAATATCTGTTCCAAAGTGTAAAGAATTTAGGTAAAATTGTAATTTATTAGCAAATGCTTTCTTTCCCCTGTGGAAAGCAGCTGCTCTAAAGACCTCTGGAATTATCCCACRGAAAAGGGACCATACTGAGAACGTGTGATCTGCCTTATTCCTAAGCAAGATGGGGGGGGGGGGAAGAACAAAGCACTAAATACTTATAAAGAAGGATTAATATATTGCATAGCTGCTACTTAAGTAATAGCTTATCACGTTAAGTGAAATAAAGTAGATGAAAAGACACCCATATCATGTAATTTTAGTTGTTTCTTACCCTATAATGCAGAGTAACTTCATCCCCAATGTTCTCAGTTGTGTTAATAGCAGTAGGGACAGTATCATTTGCAGCAATTATAACATGGTGCTCTTTGGAAACACTGCAAGTTAAAAAACAATCAATCAMTAAGTACAAATTCTACTAGTTAATTATATAATCTTTTCATTATTTTATTAATCTTTGAAGGCTAGTTTTGTTACTAAAGTAAAATTCACCCATTTTTAAGTAGTGCTGTTTTTAAACTACTATGTATATTTCGTAAGTTTTCAGCTAAAACTAGAAACAGGAAAACACCGCTCCAGAAATGATGCATCAGGGCCTGATTATACCATCCTTACTGTGCCATTCCTTATTTTAATATCRTCATGTGAAACAGGTAGATTTTAGGAAAAAGGGGAACAAAGAAAAAGCAGTGCAAAACCGGCCAGGCTCAACCTTGTCCCATAAGGCTGGATTTGAACTCTAAAATGCACCCAAAATGTATTTAGCTGAATTATTCACACTTGTACACCATGCATAGTGTACACCATGCACATTATTTATATATACACTATACCTGTTTTTCACAGACAGAATTCAACTGAATTCCAGCTATTTTTGAAAACAAAGCACACTGCAAGACCTGCATTAAAATTTTTATTTGAGTTGTTAAAAAAAAACCCGGTAAGACACTAAAATCAAGGATAATTTTTGAGGCTGGGAAAAAAAAAAACATCCTATGCATTACCACAGTGATAATAATTCCTGGCCAGCAGCAAGGTGGAAGTGGGCTTTCTTATGTGCCTGAAATGCTTCTGAATGAATGGAGCAAAGTACCAGAGTCAACAAAAGCAAWTATTGTACTTTCAAACAACAGATACAATTTAAATAGATAAGGAGGAGTCTGACAGAGACAGTGACTGCTCCGTTATTTCATACAACTGCTGTTTTCAATTAAGCCTGTGCTTCCTATTCAAGAGGCTAGAAGCTGTCATTTGTAGACACTTAATTGAGCATAGCTCAACAAGGAAACAATATTACATTTTCTTTGAACACTTGCTAATTAATATGCTAGCAAATAGAAGCATGGAGAAGCATGAATACCTTACAAATATCAATCCTACTTCATATTTCACTGGAATTGTAACGTGTCCTCTGTTGTCTGCCAAGGTCTCAGGTGGTTCTTCACTGTCACTGAAAGAAAACATGTGCCACTGCAATCAGAGTGTGATGCTCATCTGCACATAGGACTACTAGACAGACTGAAATACTTACAGCTTTAGGTTTAAAAAACACACTRGTCACTTCCAGTTAATTATTAGCTACTAAAAATAAAATCAAAAATGCTATAACCAGTATCTAAAAATCTAAGTCCTGCATGAGTCCAGCTCAGAGGCACATCTCTGTTAAAAAGAGGATACAGATACTGCAGCTAACGGAATGAACTTGGGTCATGTCCCAGCCACCACTCTTGCACCAATCCTACATTTTCCAGGGACAGCAAACACAGAGGCCAACCAAGGTCCATTGACCATCCCAGCTCTATCAAGGCAAACTTCCACAATGCGGCACAGTTTAAGGGCTGAGCCTGTCCACTGTATCAACTGCACTTTATGCTAAAATCAATGGTAATCTTTTAAGCGATTAAAACTTTTCAGAAGCTGTTTTAGCTACTATGAATTCTGACTCATTTGTGACTCRCAGGCTCTTGAGACAGACAGCTATTTAGTCTACTCGACCTAAGTCTGCTTCTTACCCTTCATTCAGTTCATCTTTAAAGCTGACCACACAGCAGATTACTTAACTTCTTCTGTATTTTGCCATAAAACACAAAGTTGCAAAGTTTTTTTTAAAAAAACAAAAACAAACAAACAAAAAATCACAAGATAGAAAGCAACATCTGCAACTAACCTTGTTGCATATACATGAATAGTAGCATTTTCCAGTAAATAAGATGCATTGAACTGGAATGATATTTTGAAGGAAATCTGTTTGAAGAAACAAATAGCACATTTTTAAAGGCAATCAATGAAATAAAAGCACACTGTTAAGGTTTGACATAAGGAAAAATGAACTCAATTTTGGTATCTGTATCTATGGTATATTTATTCACATTTTAACCCTTTTCTAYGAAGGAATCACCTTTTCTGATATTGCCCCAGAAAAGAAAGAAGTCTAATAGGCACCACTTCAGTAAACAACAGCCTCAAATTATCAGAACCAAGAAGTCTCAATAAAACTTCTAGCACACTGTATTAGAAATACATTGCTAAATGATTCTTAATCAGCAGACTCTTAATACAAACCAAAAGCATTTTTTTTCTCCACTGCCTGAAGGAGCTAAATGCCAAAGCCTGGTGACTACAGTGCAGATGAGCCACCTAGGAAAAGCTCCTGGAATTTCACACACAGCATATAACAAAATGCCTAGAATACTGAATAAAACTTCTTACAGTGTCAATATATGAGTCCTGGGTCCCAAAAAAATTCCTGGGTCCCAAAAAAATTCCCTCCTCAGTATGGCCTGTGCTGAGTTTAGAACAACACAGAGCAAGGAAACCTTCCCTGCATGAGACATTTTACCTCTTGTGCAGGTTTTAGAAATGGATATCCCACTTTACAGGTGATGTTGTGATTGGATTCGCAACTATCTTTCTGAATATCCTAAACAGAAAAGAAAGTGAAATTTTTTTTTAATAGTTTGACCATCATCATTTTGACCAAGAAAAGAAACCATCAATAGTTTATTGCTGCCACTTTTCATCATCAAAACACTGTAAAAGTCAAAGTCTTAGCTGAAATGGAACTAAAATAGGAAGCCATAGCACCAAAACAATTTCAACATAGGGACACCTACATCAGCCATCAGTTAGTTGCCATTGGCCTCCAGTGAAAATGTTTGGAATGGAGGCTTTTATTATATACAAATACATCATGTTAATTAGTCTCAGAGTCTAACAGATCAACATATGTGTAAGTAATTTTGGAAAGTGCATACCTAAAACAGGAACAAAAAAATGACATTCATGCTTCATAAATTAGGGTCATTAACAATGCTATGGATTCTTGGTTTCTCATGATATTCTTAGGTAACACGAGGACTGCTGACAGSAAGCAAACTTCTCAAGTTTACCACCTGAGCTGGGGTGAATACTCAGCCAGTATAAGAAGTCAGGCCCTTCAGTGAACATAGGCAGAAAAACAGCTTCTTTGGAAATGCTCTCTGAGGTAAGGATGATCTGCATCCCCAAGCCATGGCTGCCCTTCCAAGGCAGTGCTTTTTCCTGTACAATCACAAATTCCTGTAGGATTTGTGACTGTAAAAGGATTTGTGATTTTTATATTCATCTCTTATATGCAGACACTCTCTGTCTTAATGTCATAAAATTATGTCTGTTGTTAAGGAAGGAGCAGCCATAGGTGACTCAGGAAAAATGAATAACACTTCCCTAGATTTGTAGGTGAGGATGGCACTCCCAATGCCAACTGTTCCAGTCGACTGAGAAGATGCCAGAACAGTAAAATTCAGGCCTTACTATACAGGATTCTTCAGATCTCCCTAGCAATGTAGATTATGACAAAGATAAAAGTGAAAAATTCCTACCTCAATTCCAGCAAAAATAATATTTGGAGAATATGAAACCAAAACTCTAGTATTATAGGCACTGTCTTTTTTATTTTTGACAGATAGTTGGATGGAGAATTTATCATTGCGTGACTTCACAATAAATGGAGAAGAGCTGTAAAATAAAATAAGTTTTGTTAGACATCTTAACTTCAAATCTGTTTTCTGATTTGGAAACAATGTCATAGTGTTATCTTACTGGAATACAGAATTTGTAATTTACATAGAAATTTTGCACAGATATCAAGTGGTGTAATAAATCCAGTGTAGTTACCTGTCTCCAGCTATGCTTGATTTTACATTCAGAACAAGATCTGAAATGCATTTGTTCTTGGCTCCACAATCTTTTGTGAAAGGAATCTGCAACAATARTATTTTCTCAATGTTACTACATTTATTATGGAAATTAAATACTTGCATTTCATTATCTTGTTTTATATCATAAAGTCTTCTCTCTGTCATAGAAGTGTTTCCATACCAGTAAAGCGTGCAGATGTAACATAACCTTACTACTCATTCCCTTATAAATGGCAAACATCTGGGTTACAAAAAGAGTCAATAATAACAATGAATGATGTCCAGCACCCCCGAAGTATGTGACTAACATTCCCCCATTTTATCCATGTCAAAGAGACAAGAAATTTGCTTGTGCTCTCTTTTATCTTCTGTTAACTTTAGGCAGCTTTAAAATACAGTGCTGGATCCCTCAMGCGTACTGAACTGTGCTCTTCACTCCTGGAGATTTGCTTGAAGAAAACTTCTCCTGGATAGATCCTTTCAGACCTTTTGTGGGCTATGAATTTTACCTTAAATGCTTTGGGTATTAATGCAGACTCTTACTACTTACATATTCAGACACTGAATTTGGCAAGTTGCTATCAAGTACAGGTCCAACCTCTGGATCAGATAAATTAAATTCCAGCAAAACCTTTACAGAGTCTTGAAAGTCAGGCTTATCCTAGAAAATAAAGAAAATGAGATGACTGTTATGGACGTTTACTTTAATATCTTAGTGACTGAAGGAAGATTGAAGAAAAAAAAAAAAGGAAAAGATAAAAGAGAAAAAAAGAAACAAAAAAACCCCACAAAATGCTGAGACAAAGTATTTCCAGTAATGCTGCTGTCATCCTTACTATGTTAGGAAAGCATTCAAATGCCTGTAACCAATGACCAAGCATTCAGTGTGTAAGCCAAACCTTATAARTACCTACTAAAGTTTTTGTGCGTCTCATCATAAAAATGTCACATAGCCCAAACAATTCCAACACTGATTTATTTAAGAATGTCTCAGAAATGTCAGCCTGACCTTTTTGTGTGTTGTCAAAGTATAAGTAAGATGAACAGAAGCACTATAATCTTTTATGAAGTTAAAATTAGGAAACGTGGTACATATTCAAACACTATCATTAGTTTTAAATTTGACCACAATTATGAAACTGCTAATGTTTTAAATGTAGGTAGCTTATAATAATCATCTCTGTTCACTCTTCACATTGGTTATAATTTGGACAATTTCATACCTACAGCCTAATTCCACTGTTATTTTACAGTGTATTCTTTATCCCAAACCTAATTTGAGAGTTTTTTTCATTCATGGTTTTCCAACATGGATTCTCACCAATATGCCTTTCAGCCCCCTTGCTCCTGCTGAGGACTGAATGCACCTAAACTATTAAATATTATGGCTATAGGATTCACCTAAATGTTCTGTGCTCTTCCTGAAGACAAATACACAGCAGGGACAAAAGTAAATATCTTTACACATAAATAAATATTGTACAACTATATACAAATATATAAAACCTAAATAGTAAAGGAATTGCATGTAATTCTAGATACAGAATTTTCATCTAGTTAATAATTACTACAATATATTAAAGGCCTATTACAGTATCAACAYGAGAAAAACATAGCCACTTCAAATGATTTACTTGCCAACATGTAGAAGTTATGTTTAATACAATCTGACCCTTTGATGGTAATATTTTTTTTCATTTTCCTCTCATGGCTCTCTGTGAACAAGCTTCGAGATATTTGTCTTTGCGAGTCGAGAGTAATCCAATACTGTAGACCTGTAAATTAAATTAGGTCAGGATTATGACCAAGGGTATCTCCACACTTTTTTTTTTTTTTTTTTTTGACAATATTACAAATGAACTTTGAATACTGAATTCCAGAAAGAATTACAATCCATTTTTTGAGAAGTAAAATACTGTGAGCATATCAGTTATATATGAAAACCTCCTACAGCTTGGTACTTTTCTACTTACCCGATTCAAATGGATCTTCCTTAGATTTTAGTCTGGCTTTAAAACAAATTGTGGCATTGATGCATATGGTTTTTCTTTTATTTATCTGACAGTTTTGCTGTTGAATATTGATACTTTTGGGTGTAAATTGCATTGAAGCATTTACTTCAGCCACATCACGAGACCTTAACAAAAAGCAAAAAAGAATTCCATGAAAATAACAGCAGCCACTTTTGTAATTTTTAAAAACTGAACTTATGTTCAGTTATAACTGAACTTATACTAGACATTGAAATAAACATATCTGACAGTGCAGACAGGCAATTAATGACACAGTCTATACATAATACCAGTAAATATATATAAAAATAAAATGGTCACAGAGTTTCTCTCCAGTGCTGTACTTTTTACATAATGGATACCAGATGAAAGGAAAGATCTTGAAAAGAAGTGTTTAAGCAATTATAGGGGCAGTTGTTTTCCCAAAAGCATTTTGACACTTCAGAAAGCTCCATTTTAGACCCATTCTCCATAGGAGCTACCAAGGAAGATGTTACTACCATGGAGGACAGCCTGTGGCTCTTAGGTGATGGGCAGAAAAACAAGCTGAGATTCTCTAGCAGTGGTTAAATCYGCAGAAAAGCAGCTGGCTGCCCTGGGAGCTGTGGCAGTAGTAGGCAGGTCCCAACCCAACTGTCCTCTGAAACGGCTTGAGCAGTTCTTGCTCTTGCTCTTATCATCTCCTTATCTTAAAGGGTTGAACGTTTTGATGCTGCTGCATGGTGACCAGACAGAGGATTGGGTCAAAGTTAAAAATTTACTTTTGAAAATAACGGGTGAAGGGGAGGGAGTGATCTTTGCTCTGCCTCCATCGGTTCCCTGTCCCAGCTCCCTGCTTGGCCGCACAAGCATTTGGAAAGAGTGCAGGGAATGGGGGGGATTGCTTAGCCGGCACTGTCCCCGGCAGGTGAGAACACCAGGCTCTCTTGTGTTCCTGTATTCACAGCAAATAGGAAGCGGTAGGCAGCAACTTGAATCTTCAGTAATGAATTTAAGCAAAAAGCCTTTTTACCTCCCACTAACCATGGCCAGCTACAGCGCAGCGACTTGCCAAGCTACACTGACTTCATTCTGATGCCTTTAAGCACCTTAGACACTAAATATCACAAAGAAACAGTGAGATTGTCACTTTCTCCCCAGCCACTAAAAATATTGTTTAGAGAGTTCAGAACTTCAGGAAAAAACATCCCAAGCATTTATTACTTTTGATGCCTCCAACATATAAACTGCCAAATTTAAAATGCTGAAGGGGCAATAAATTATATTAACGTAAAAGAGCAAAAGCTGCTGTTAGTATTACATATCGCTGGCAAAGTTGCAAGAAAAATGATTTTTACGTGTCTCAAGACTTACTACAGAACAGATATCCACTGAACCAAGCAGTAACAACCTTGCAGAAAATATCAATTTTCCCCCTGGGAAGGTTCTTGAAGGTTTTATTGCAAATAGTTTCTTACTATTCTAGAACCGATCAGTTATAGAGAATTTTCAGTTCTTAAAAATAAACTAATAATCTACCTCATCATGATTTTAGGGGGAAAAAAAAAAAAAAAAAGTTTGAGGGTAGAAACACAACTGAGGGTAGAAACTTTGAACCATGAAATTCCTAATATYTTTTGAAGATATTAAGATTCAAGGCGCATTTTCTTTCTGTGAGGACTGTGGGTCATAACTCTTAAAAGTCTGGAGTCAGAAACATTGAGTTTCCTTCCAAAATATCTCAGAGCCTTTGAACCTGCTCTTACAGAGACTTTGATGCATTTTTCTCTGTACTGAGAGCTGTCCTACTAATTTTGTGGAAATGAAGTCCGGAAAGGGCAAAACGTTTGGGAATAGCAAACTATTCCCAAACTAAATACTAAAACTAAATAAAACCCAATCAACTAAAAGAGTGAAGGACAAAGGGAGCGTAACACAGGGCAACAGGATGTATTTAAAAAGAATTAATACTTTGTGTGACACTTCTCATATGTTAGGCTGCAAGAGCTAGAAGTCCAGGGTAATTGCACAATAGCAAAAGCAATCAGCTGGCTTAGCAATTGCTTTGCTTTACTTACTCGGGATAAAGCTGTGAAATAGCCTTAGTTCTGACTTAGGAAAGACAGATTCCACATTTTCATGTTCATTTACCCTTCTGGTGTTTTTTTCCTTCTCTCTTTAATAACACATTGCTCAATTAACCATCTAAATCATGTGTTTTTGTAAAGAGAAGATAATCTGCTGTTCACCAGAATTAATTCACCAGTTCAATATTTTCTAGTTTCTCAGGAGGGAGTCAAAATAAAATTTTTCTTAGTAAGCCCTTTACATTTGAACCAGCCACYGGTATTGCTAAAAAGATAAGAAGCAATATAATTTAATAAAGAGGACTTTTTAAAAAATATACTCTGTGCCACAGGTGGAGTAAGTWTCTGTTCTGAAGCCTGTCTAGGAGACGCTCTTCATACCTGGCTAACRTTTCTAAACATTGATGTAATTGTCATTATTATTCATGAAATTCTATMTCCAAGTAGAAATTTAAATATTATGAACAAGAACCTGTGTTAACGGATGAAATCTGGTATCATTAATAGGTATCATACAGTAAATTACTATTTTCTACCCTGGCAGATGATGTTAGTATCCATACCAGAAGAGGGCAGCACCACCAAGGCCTCCGATAGTGACATCAATCAGCCCGTCATCATTTAAATCCATTTCTCCATGCACAGACTGGCCAAAAAATTTCACTTTTTCCCCATCTCCACCTGATGCAATACGCTGTGGAAAGCAATAACAGGTTTATGCAGTGTACATTGGTGAATATTATAAATACCTTCAAAATAAATTTGTTTGCACTTACAGGGCTTTTAAAATCTTTAAATAYGTTTTCATTAGGGCGCTACTGAAAGGGTTACCAGGGTGATGAACACATTATAAATTTTCAGAATTATAAAATACCTTCTTTTCTGGCTGAATATTTTAGAAGGTTTCTAGCAAAACCAGGGAAATCTATTTTATAACAATATTAGAGTCAAATTTGGTTAAATGAGACTGAGTTTAAAAGAACAGAGCATTTTCAAAAATAAGCTGTCCTGATAGCTGAAGCAGTTTGATCCTGTGTTGAAAAGACACAGGAAAATGAGGATTGTGCTACATACTTATATGACCTGCCAATCCTTAAAGTTTTATTCCATACCTGAGTGTATTTTTTACTGATTGTGCTGCCATTCCCATGATAAATATAAACAGCTCCGCGATGGTCATCCTCCAAGGGTGATCCTATAACAATGTCATTATATCCATCAAGGTTGAGATCCTTTACTGCAGCGATGGCAGTGCCAAAGCGGGCACCACAAGGCTCATTCTTGAGGACTTTGCAGGTGTCATGTTTTAACGGTGAGCAGCACGTTTGCTTTACAGGTTCGAGACTCATCTGGTATTCAAACTTAGTCTGTGAAAGAATAAATATAAAACTTGTGGATTTCCATCAACATTTTGGCAATGAAGACRTTTAAGAGCTCTAGTACAGAAGACAAGCTGATGAATTAAATGAAAGATTACATCCCRTTCATAATGACAGTGTGCTGGAAAAACTCTAATTCTGGAACTATAATTCAAATGTTCTCTTTGAAAAGCTGATGGGAAAGACTCTTCCTCCCTCTCCCTTTCCCTTCCCTTTCTCTCTCCCCATCTTCTTCTTGCTCCCTCACTCTTGCCCTCTCCCCACTCTCTTCCTCTGTATTTAGATGCTTACACACATTTCTTGAAGTTGCAGGTTCACAGGAAAACATGGTATCAAAAGAATATTTGGATGATACTATAATTAAAACACTTAATTTTTAGGATACTGTACAGATTTTTTCCAAAGACAGTCTCTTAGTCTGGAAAGTAAGCCAAGTTTATGATGGATCACAGATGGCAGTACTGCAGTTCCAGAACAAAAGGCAGCATTGCTCTCACAGAGGCTGAATTCAGTCCTCAGCGCGTGCACAGACTCAGGCAAACACTCTCAGCACATACACATCCTGTGTGCTAACATATGAATTCTTCCGGCTAAATGTCCAATGTGTGTGTGAATTCTAGATCAATGCCCCAAATACAGTATGTTATGTATCCCGTCTTTCCAAGAAACACATTGTCCCCATGGGTTACATGTTAAAAACGAGCAGCAGGAAGAGGTTACTTCATCTCCTTTGTTTGGAGAGGGATAAAAGGAATCACAGGGAAAACAAATTTCAACTCCTTGCAATTACTAGAGGACATGGAATTCTGGTTTTCTTGCCAACCATATTCACCAGCAAGTTGTTGTTAGCAACATGCACGTACAAACTGGAAGAGTTCCTTGTCAAACAGCTCCAGTCCCGTCAGGCCTTTTTCCTGTACGTAGCATTTTTGAGACCACAGCTGCTTGAACCTACTTTAGTAGCCCTTATTAGCAACACACCTTAGTACTAGATTAAAATAAGAAACAAAGAAGAAAGAAAAAGCACTCGTAGACATTGAGATGGAGGAATTATCTATCCAGGCTCTAAAGCAGAAGTGATGTACTGAATGCCCCAATTCCCTTCAGACACTGTAGCAGAAAAGAGACTTCATATTAAAAAGAATAGTACTTTATTACACTGATTTATGGATATATACAGGGAATATATAGGAGGAAGCTAAGTGCAGCTATTACTTACAGATACTATTCTGACACAACTGAGTCTTCAAGAGCCCTCTAATATGTGAGAGCAAATTGAAAACAAGAATAGAAATTAACACTATAAATTTGCATTTATGTCCCTTTGCAGATTGCAAAATATACTGCTTGTCTACCACATATACTATTTGGGAAAAATACAGATGGGAAAACAAGAGTTTGARAAGAAAATTTCTAAAAATAACACTGTATTATACTTTTGCAATTGCCAGAGTTATGTTTCTTTGTTTTCAACAGATCACCTCCCCCAGCTCTAATTATCACATTTATTTAAAACAAGGCCATAAGGATAGACGATAATAAGGAGCACGTTCTGTTCCTGGTCAGTAAATGTCGTGCTTACCTTGTTCAGAGCATACACATACACTTTTCCTTGCTCCTCTTTTTCTGTTCCCATATACATAGGAGCTCCAACAAGAAGAAGGTCTGTAAATGAGTCCCTGTTGATGTCTATTGTGGTAATAACACCCCCAAAATATGATCCAATCTGCAGGAAGATGTAAGGTATAAATCAGAGACAGCACCATCACAGAAGATTTCCTATTCGGGGATCTGTTTTACAGTTGTTTGCAACAATGTCAAATTTTAGTCATGAAGGCAGAAATCCATAAGAAAATCATGCTTATCACACCCATTTCCCACCCATGATATATCCTTTCCATTCAAGGGACAGACAAAGTTAGTAGCCCAGAGATGGCTATAATCACTTTGATATCAGCAAAGGTTTACCCCACACAGAAAATTTCCAAGGAACTCTAACTGCTCTAAGCCAATTTTCCATTTACCATTACATACTAGTTCAAAGACTCTACCTAACTTTTGTTTCTGATCTTGCTTACGACAAAAGTTCATTTCCTTTCCTGGTACAGAGTTCTCATTTAAAACCATTCCCTCCCACTTCTCATGCCAAATTTCTCTTACGTGTGAAGCATAAATACATACTTACTTGTTCTCCATTTAACCTTTGAAGAACTTGCACCTCTCTTCCTTCCATTTTATAAATGATAACTTGGCCAGTGTGATTGTATCGAGGTTGCCCTGCTATGTACAGGACACCTGCAGGTGTCGATGCCGAGTTCACAGTATATCCTGGGACACACAAAAGGGTTCAGGAGGCAGTGCACACAGCACACATCAGGAAAAGTCACTGTGATTCAGAGCTTTTTTAAGGCTTGATTCTACAATTAGACATTTAGCCTTATTCTAGATAATGTTATTAAAGTTAAATAAAAGGGCTGGATCTGTGGATTTGCCTGCAGTCTCACAGAGTCATGAGCACCACTGAGTCATTAAACCTGCTGACAGGCTGGTATGTCCTAAATTCAGCAGAGTTTTTGACACTGTTCACTTTGCTATTCTTACATATTGTAGGATGTTGAGAGTACTGGTGAGCAGCAGACTGAGAAGCTGCTTTCAAAGAACAGTTGTCACTGGCTCGATGACAAACCAACAGAGCCTTCCAAGCATGTTTCTGGGGCATTTCAAATCCCTTCTACTTAATATAGTCACTAACTACTGCATAATGGATGACTTAGAAAATTTACATATGCAACAAAACTGATATGGGGAAACAGAATCATGAAGGGTATGAGGCCCCCTCTAGAGAGGGGGTAAGGCTGCTTAGTTGCTTTTAGTATCTTTATATTATCACTACTTTATACATCTTTTAGCCTTGTAAAGGCTGAGCACAGCACTCTGAAAATACATAAAACACAGCTAAAGAGTGGTAATCTGTTATTCATGTTCATTGAATGAAAGAGAAAGAACTTAACTTTCAGTAAAGAAGACTGACGGAATACTATATGAACACTTTCTAGCACTGAAAGCAGAGAAAATCTTGAGAAGAATACTAGGGAAGTCTGCCTCCTTGAATAGATTAGACATCACTACTGAGGACAGACTCTTTAAATTTAGGACTGTATGTTTTTGTACTAGACTTTTGATTGCAGAAGCAATGTGKTTTTTTTCTTCTAAACAGCAAAATATTATACAGATTACCCATCCACACACTATACATTTTCCAAGACTCCTAAAAAATATGATAATATTTTGTAAGAGCATCTTTGTTAAAGAGATTGAGAAAGGACTTGTTGAATTTCTTGAGAAATGTCATAAGATACATATTTCTCTTACCTAGATAGGCTGCAAGGGGTTCATTTTTTTCTGAGCGTCTGTCACGGAAAGTGCTATTAGTTGGCATTGAAATACTACTGCCCTTCACCATGAGCACTGTGCCATTCCAGTCATACGCTCCAACAGCTCCAAGCATGACCCAGTCCTTTTAATAARGAAAACCAAAACATCTCATTCTTTACATGACTCATCTCTAGATCTGTGTTAGTCATGATGCTCATGTTCGGCTAATCCTTCCTATAGAGGTACAAGATTTAACCCTGCTTTTCTTACTACTGTATAATCTCCCTCAGTCATGATATATCTCCCCCTCTTTATTAAAAATAAACCCAACTAAAAAAGCATGAGTCAATCTGGAAAACAACACAGTGAAATATGACTCCTATAACTTCAGACATTTTAGATAAATTAGAAGACGAAGAGGAAGTAGCAAAGTTCATTAGTTCATTAGAATATTAAACACGAGTCAGTTTGCCTCAGATTGCCCAGKACTTTGCTCAGTTCAGCTACTCCCCTATCATGTTCTTTTCCTACTGTCACTACTTTTTATTATCTTTTAATATCCTCTTTAGAATTTCCATTTCATCTGTGTATATTGATCAGATAATCATAACCGGTACTTTCTCTTTTTCAAAAAAAAAAAAAAAAACAAACCAAAACAAACAAACAAATCTCACAGTGTATCAATTTCTATCATTAAAATTCCCAAGGGTTTTTGTATCCTAGTTTAACAGTTATTTACCTCTTGAGAACTGAGGTATTCAGTATATTAATGAAACTAAGAATATGTTGTTACTAATCTCACAGTAATTTTCATTACATAAACTATCCATTAAATGCATCTTCTGTTTAAATTTCAATACAATAACTACATAGTTATATTTACATTAAGTAGCTACATAGCTATTAATATTTTATAGAATAAGTTACTGATGACAAAATGCTAACCGAACATAAAATTTAAAATTGACATGAACAAGTTATTTATTCTCCTATGAACTATTGTTTRTAATTATTCTTTATTTACATTTTATAAAGCTTAAGTAAATTATAGGAAAATCTAAAACTTCTRACAACAAACAAGTAACAGAATTGTATGAAGAATTCTGAAATACTCATACCTAATTCATGCCATTATCAATAAAAATCTACATTGAAAAAGTATTGTAATCGTTAAACAGCTTGCTTACCTGAGAATAATGAGCACTGAAACCAGCCTGAGACATTTCCAGTTCAAATGAGGCTGCTTGCTGGTCTGTTGTTGCTATTAAACACAAATATTTGTTTTAATATAAATAAATACCAATTTGAAAAAAAAAATCTACCTAATATAATGAAAATGTTGACATGGAGAACAAAATTAAACAGAGTATTCGAAGAGAGTAGCTTGATGTGAAATTTTACAATAAATACAGAAAGTGCATTGTGTATTAAATGCTACCACCAAGTATGAGAAGCCATTTCCATTTTAAGGCCATGTATTACAACTTGTCCAACAAATATTTCTGGACTAAAATTGACCAGATTTGACCTCAGACTGATGGTAAATATGTTTGGAATGTTTCATTAATATGGCCAAGCCATTTTCCACTGGAGCTAAGGGAACAATTAAACATCATCCATGTAACACTAGCCTTGCATTCATGTAAGTAAAAATTTGTAGGCAGCTGGTTAAATTTAAATTAAAGAACATTTGATGTTTGGATTGTATCAGCCGCTGTGAAAAACAAGGTAGGAAAATTTCAGCTGTCCAAGAGTCATAAGCTTCAGGGAGGGGCTTGGAAACTATAATCCTTCTCAGAAAGCTGCTGCACTTTCTGAGCAGCTCCATCTCAGACAGATGGAAACTTTCCAGTTTTTTAAATATCTTTGCATCAAAAAAACAAACAAACAAAAAAAAGGTAGTCAAATGATTTAGCCATACGGTCTTTTTTTTTTTTTCAGGTAGTCATATGCTCTAAAGGGACTCAATTTTTTATTTATTTTCTCTCAGGTACATAGGAAATATCTTCATGAAAGAGTTTTGTCTTTTCCTCTACTCAAAAGCAATAATAAATACCTGGAGCTAACTCTATAACGCATATTGATTCCTCCTTCCGAGCAACCTATGGAAGCAACAGGAAGCAGAGAGGAACTATGAAGTCTATTCTGGGGCTTATCCAGGCAGAATTCACCAACTGTTAGCAGTTGAATACTGAGGCAAACTTTCAACAGTGTGAAGGAACCTGACGCCTAGCAAGCCATGGGGGCATGAAGTTCAGACTAGTGAGACTATTAAAAAAAAAAAAAAAAAAAAAGTGTGAAATTTGACAACTGAACCACACAGGTTGTTTACTTGGATGTGGTATTTTGCCAATTGTGGGGATTTATGACTCGCCATCGGAGGCAGGCATGTTCTCAAACACAGAAAGTTTGACAGTTTGAAAGTTTGAAAGTTTGAGTCCATCAAATTTCATAAGACATAACTGCTTTACTAAGACTGAAAAAAAATAAGGATAAATATTTAATATAAGTATAAATTAAGGATAAAATTCCTTAGTTATGTATTTGCTTATAAGCAATATTTTTCAGTGACAGCATTAATCATTCCATAAAGGATGTTTTTTAATGATCTGAGAGAGACAGRATTCTTGTAAGTGCAGGCAGAGGACAATGCTGCTACTGTTAGTACGTGCAGATCTGACTCCTGCTTAGATAACAGCCCCCAGTCTAACTTTCCATTGAGTTTTAGCCTGCCAGGCATTTTACAAAGAATATTTTGTCAAAAACATTTGTGCCAGCCTCTATACTGGATAAAACATAAAGCTCTTGTTAAAACCAGAAGCCCATGCCATTAGACACAGAGACATATGAAACAGATTATGTGTAAAAATGCACTGGCTGTCAAGCATGGGTTTTTGTTGGATTTGATTTTTAAACTCTCTCTTCTTTCCTTTGTTGATTTTTTTAAAGGCCAAAACCGAAAAGTAAACAAGAAATCATAGGAGAAAAAAAAATCAATGTACTATTACATTAATGGGAGGCTATTCAGGTCGAAATTTTAAATGCATTCAGATACAGAATTCCAAGAATCAAGGTTCTTAGGATCTCTCTGTTACGAGCTGAGTAACTTAACTCAGCTATAAAATTAATTCATCTTTTCCAGATTGCACACATCCAATGGTCTGAGTTTGTTGTAAGAAAGCTGGGTGAGACAGAAATGATCCGTTTTTCTCCAGAATAACGTATCTCCTACTACTTTGGATGGGACAGGAAAGCATTGCTGAAGAATCAACAAAAATGGATTTAATCACCATCTTTTAGCTCAAGTCTGAGCAACATTGACTACAATTCAGCCTCCCTAAATTTTGACATAAAGCCAAGATCCCATATTTCAATTCCATTCTGATTTCCCATGCAGCCATTTCTGGGAATTCCATGGGAACAGTAGGAGGCATCATTTCTTGTCTTGTATCAGATATGATGCATAGAAACCTCAGTGTAAACGTCAAACTCCTAAAATAGAAAAGGGAAAGCCAAGGAGTGTGGTGAAAATACCTAGCTCCTCCTCTTTTTTTTCCCCTCTCTTTAATTTGAATGTATATTTTTTGTAATATCACCATGTTTATCTAAAATAAAATTAAAAAAGGCATCTATATCAAGTCATAGATAKCCTAATAGCTTATAAAAAGTTTGTTAAACAAAAACAGTAATACACAAAAAAAATGACATTTGCTGTAGCATCTTCTTCTGAAAAAAGGTGTGGTGGGAGGCGGGACAGTCTCTCTTAGCAGCATCTAACTGTTCTAGGGGGTTTAGTTGTAAGGTGAAACCAATGTCTGAGTGCAGATGGTGTGACCACGTCCTGAAGTTCAATCACCTCAGATTTTAWAATCATATCCTTAATTGTCCTGGACTAGTAAAGCAGTTGATTAAACTTTTATTATATATCCAGTATATTGAATAGTTATAACTAACATATTTTACTCATAAAAGACAATGAATCTTTTTACATTAATAATACAGAGCACAAACTGAAAATTTAGACTTTTTTGTCCCCTTCCACTTGAAATATTATTTCTAAGTTTCAACCAACTATTTCTTCCATAGAAAGTTAATTCTGCCCATTAAACAGCTACTTAAGGCGGCCTCTATTCAATGAACTTGAAAGTATTKAATGAGCTTAAATGGGCTAAACTGATCTTTAGAGAGATTAAATTCTCTTCAAATAAATTTGTTTTACAAGTGAGGAAACAAAATACTTCATGAAAGGAACTGTAAAAGAATATATACATACACTAAAAAAAAAATCTTTATTAATAGTCCACTAAAAATACTAATAACTGATCAAGCACATAAAAAACCTAAATATGTCTAAGAAGTATACCTACAGTTTAAAATCCTTTAATCTTTTATTTCTTTATTATTTCTTCATATTCAATCAATATTATCCTTTGTTCCAACTATAAATTGTAGTATTCCAGCTACTTGGAAAGCTGAGATGTTGAAAAGTAAGTTCCAACAGACGTTTTCCTTATATGACACTTATCCTCTCAGGGATAGCCAGGATAATTTGTAACTACTACATTTAGTCTTCTGTCACTGGTAGCATGCTTGAAGCAGAGTTGGACAATGTTGCYTAAGTTGGATGGCGAATGTAAGCAGACATTACAACACGGAGACTTTTTCCTGTTAAAATTTGGGCATCACAAAAATTTCTAAAGTAAAAACACCCTACTATCTTTACATATCATGTGCACGTTAACATATATTGAAGTATATTGCAATCAAAAGAAGAACTTAAAATGTAGACAGATGAATATACGATCACGGTGTAATCAGGATATGATCCTACAATGCTCTTTTACATAGGTAAAGGTAACMTTCTATTTAACCAGTGTAAAATGATGATTTTTACTACATCAGTCCTTTTTCTCCTCCTGGGCTACTGTCCACATCTAGTTTAACTCATCTAAATGTGTTTCACGACATTATCCATCTTTTTTTGATATTTATTCCTAAATATCTTTATGATCAACATGGTAAAAATATATGTATAATACATTTTATGCAGCACAATACCTTACAAAGGAATACTAGATTAGTTACTCAAGTATTTAGTCCAGTTGTAATGCAAGTGTGAATTAAAATGTAAAGAAATGTCCTACCTTCCAGTGCAAATATTCTCTCTCCCAGTGCTTCAACAATAGTTCCAAGAGCTAATTCATCTGAGACATTGAAGAAATGTTTTTCAGTGGGCTTACTGGCAATTGATTTTATTTCCTCCACAAATTTCTCTGTACTTAAATTTCCTCTACTATAGCTGCCAAGAATCTAAAAAGAAAGAAAAAATAGAGGATATATTTTATACTTGAAAGATAGGTTTGAGGCAAGCTGTCAGAGAATACTGGAAATTGTTCTTAACCTTAATTTGTTCTATTAACGTCTCCCTCAAATTTCTAGTCTAAATTCATTAAAAGTCATTCTTTGTTAGTGAGAACAGAACTGTAGGAGGTCTCGGCTCTTTTTTTGTGAGAATACCGACCATTACACCATACAGTTGCTTTGGTTGCTATGTCTGCTAACCTCAGCTGTCCTTTTATCCCCTTCCTTTATAAAATTCTAATGACTTGCTCACGTAGACCTTAGTTTGGRAAAAACAAAACAAAGCAAAACARAGAACAGATTATACAACTGTAGTGGCTTCTGCCCACTGCACTGTTTCACCAGTTCTCCTCATAATGCAGTATGCAGACAATTAATGACATGCCTAATTAGGCATAGGAGAGTTTTTCTTTGTTGCATGCAAATCTAGAGCCCTATAAATATATATAACAATACCACTTGCATTCACTGTTAATGACTCCATTGGGGTTAAAAGAYTTCAGATTTAGTTCCCAGCTTTCACACTGCTGTCATAAAAACTCAGCATGCCTTAGAAAAAAATTACTTTAATTCCCAGACTGAAGAATACTTAACTGAAATTCACAGGAAAAAAAAAATTGCTCTAAACACTTTTTGCTTTGTGAGAGGAGTCAAAAATTCCACGTGCTAGCATTCCTGGACACTGCAGCAATTGAAATTTAGGTCGAGATAAGAATTTTATTGGCAAAAAATATTGTGTTTCAGTAAGAAACTTTTATTTACTGACCTCTGAAGAAACCTACTGAAGAACTGTGAGCTACTGCAGTCACTTTAGCTTTATACTATTTTTTTCCTCTTTAATTTAAAGCTTACGTCTTTTTTCTGAAAATGTTCCAAAATACCTCTTTGTAGCTAGTAGTCTCAAGCAGCTGGTTACGATACTTCCAGAGGTTTAAGGTAAGAGATGAAAAGGACCCTTACACTGTTTTATTTGCTTTTAAATTAGAAATTATTTGCTTTGCATGTCAGAACAGGGAACATTGTAAGAGAGGTGTTCTTGTTAGAAAATTGAGAGATACAGAGAAAAAATCCAATATAGTATAAGAATCAACCAGAAAAATAACAACAAAAAGATGATTCTTGAATACAATACAGAAACAGCAGAGTGTTCACACAGAACCTTAATCCTTAATATCTCCATATCTATGAGTTAAAATTCATGCTCCTCCTCCCATTGAGCTACTACGTTTGCTCAACATGAAAACAACCTTGGAATCTGAGCACATAGAACAGCCACGAATAAAACTATTATTATTAAAAAAAAAAATAGTGGGTAATGTCTCTTCAACAAATGCTCATAAWATTTAAACCAATCACTCTGTTTACTCTTGTGGTTAACAAAGATTTTATAGGCCCCTCAATCTGTCTTTTTCTTCACACACACACCCCACCCTGTCACCATCATAAAGACAGATAGCTTTTTAGGTGCCATAAAATCAGAAAGCAAATCTTTAATTTTTTAAGCTTTTTTATCCTTTCATGTTACCTCTCAAATGATTATACTTCTATAAAGATTCCTTAAAAGGCTTTTTTTTTTTTAAAGCAGACATTACATTTGCAGCATAAAGCACACTTTTAAGCTTCATATTTTTCACATTACTTTTCACTTACAGCAATAGCAAATCTCTGAATGTTTTCCTCTTCACAACTATCAATCACGTCTTTTAACCTGTAGTTGTCATGCGACTCCCCGTCGGTCACAATAACCATTACTTTTTGTACTCCTCTTCGCGCTCCGCGAGCCTCAGTAAAAGCCTCTTTCCTATTAAAAGGTTTGAAGAAGGTCAAAGCCAGCGTTTAGCACACACATAATTTTTGCAGACTCAATCATACCCTAAAACACTCAATATAAATTCAGGAAGCTGGAAAAGGAAATGAATATTACCCATGAACAAATGCAAACAACAGCAACTGAAATTTTTATTACAGTTTGCACCCGAAGAGGTTCACAAGTATTCATTCATTACTTATACATATATTACTGATGGCATAAAACAATGCTGGATGTCRAAGAACTCTTCTCCGACTCAGATAAATTTTTGGCACTGTAAAAAAAACACTCAATTTTCCTTCCCTCAAATCCATACACAAAGAAAGAGAAACTATTTCCACCCTATAGCAGCMTTTTAAGCGGTCAGGTTATTTAGATCAGCTCTGACACTGTCCACAGTGATAAAAGATCTACCTTTGACAGAGGCTAAAAGTGGATGARTAGCACAAGTGCAAGAACAGAGGAAGCTTTCAATCACTCCTCTCCATACAAGTCTTCAATCGTCTGTGGTGCTCAGAGACTTTGAGTCACATGTGGGTTTCTATGTATTTAGCAATTCTCAGTTGTCCCTGCTTTTATGAACTTGCCCAGAGTCTTCCTGAAGCCTCTAGTTGTATCTAAATTAAATGGCTRCTAAATACGTTGGAACTTGATTAAACAGTAATATCAACAAAACTTGGGTCAGATAATTAGAATAGTTCTTCAAATAATGCTGCACATTTAAAATATATATTTTTTGGGAAACGGAAGAGGTATTCTTTTCTGGAATAAAGTCATCCCRTTACACCAGACATTAGAAAGAGAAAAGAAGAAAAGTAAAAAATAAAGATATGAAATCTATAACAATGCAGAACATTGCTGTATTGATGCACAGCAGTGAGTTGTTCCATTTTTAGATATYTTTTGTTAATACAAAGACTATGAATATTTTAAATGACTATGGAAGCGTATTTGTTGAAATGGAAAATAAACAGCGCAATTTTTCTTTGCCCATTTCAGCAAATGGTAGAAACTAGTGATTTCAGTGAGTGCAGAATGAGGTCAATATTTTACGGTGCCTAGTGTCACTTTCTTGTTTCATAATTGTACGCTGCTTCCTCATCTTTCACACAGTCCACAAGCAAGTTTGATTAGCTAGATGTGGAACAGATATCACTCATCTGGGAGTTTGATTTGGCATTTATTGTCTATTTTGYTTATGAAAGAAGCATTCTTATGTAATACTGTTGATAACAATRGCTTTTTAATTTCTCAATACTCTAGAAGCTTTATGGATTTGACATACAGTATTTCTAGACTTGCTGAGAAAAATGTCTCAAACGCTACAGTAATCTTAGCTTCAAAAGGAGGATAAATTAGCACTAATAAGTTTTCATGTTTCCTATACAATTCTCCTCTGAAAGACATAATTTCCTCTCTGCCTTTACACACAAACACATACAACTCCTACCTGCTCTGTGTGCACTTTTCTTAGGACTGCAAACATGATCTGGGTCTTTCTCTTCCCCTATTTCATCCATTCAAGAGACAGCTGCCTTTTTGATGTGCTGTGCACAGCTGCTGTCTTTACTGGCATATATCTAAAGTGCGAGGCTAATATACTACTGTCTTTCTAAAGCCTGTTTGCTTAGCTAAATGAAAGTCAGACGCCAGTCACACCTTATTTTCAGTTTATAAAAATCCAAAAAATCCAAATTATCACCATATCTATTTATATTTGTTCTTTTTTTATTCAGGATTTCCTAATATTTTATGAGCATACCTTGCTGTATCAATTCCAAGGGCTGTCATAGTCTGTGTACCACCTCTCTGGACTATTCTTGTCGCTGCAGCCATCACGTCTTCTGTTGTCGAGTACGTATTAAGGAAAAATTCATGGACTACAGTTTGTCCATACTGAACAATTCCAACCTGAAACAGAGAGTTCATGTTAAAAATCATTCACCTTTAAGGAAAAAGTCTATTCATTGCCAGCCTCTTTCAGAAAGAAAAATGTCTTTCTATATATACATAAAGCCATACTTACTAGTATCTATATGTAAAGCTATATTGACTAAGACAATTCAATCTCATTTTTGAAGTCCCTAAATTCTTTTTAATAAAAATAGGAACAAAGGAAGAAGTAGACTTAACTGCTTATTGTTCCTGACTTGCAGTCACCTGACATGCAACTCTGCTCTCCTCTAGGCCATGGCAAATCAATGCCCTAGCCATCAATTTCAAGTTTTTAAACAGTTTTCAATATAGCATACAAGGCCATGTTTTACTCACACTCCTTTTTCTTTCCAAATACAGTACTCCTACATCCAACAGGGTTTTTATCCTAAACTTAGCCAAGCACTGCAACGAGAAATCTAGGTCCTCCTCCCAGCAGGAGGTATGCCAAGATAATAAGCCCAACAAGCACTTGAATAAAATGATGGCTCCTGGAATGGAGCAATGAGACTAAAACTCATGATGACCCCAACAAGACAAGTCTTTGTGTGAAAGAACAACACAGGGGACTGGAACCAAACCACAAGAGCCTGAGGGAACCTACTGCAGCTATGAAATGTGAACTGAAAGATAAGCAATATTCTTAAATACTAATTAATTTCTCTCATTCATCTCAGTCTGTTTTAATACTCTGGCAGGTTCTTGACAGCTTTTACCGGGAAGATTCCACACAATGTTCCATTAGCATATTTCAATTTTATGTTATACTTGACAATTTATAGGTGTTATTTAGGATAATGTAGTATTATGTGACATATTTATGTCTCATTCATCTATTATTAAAAGTTCTCTAGCATTTAGGTATTAAAGATCAATAAGACCTGTGATGTTTATGCAGTCATTTTATTTTAGAGGTGGCTTAGGGCATACTTGGCAATTGCTTTATAGGTTTTTTTTGAGCTGCTTTCATAGCATCTCAGTTTGTACTCAATATTTGTTGGCGTTCATTGCTTGCTTTTAAACTAAAAGCTGACTTGTAATAAAAGCTTTAGAGTTGGATAAATATCTGATACTGAACAATGTTATCAAGCTTATTATAAAAACTTGTTATAAAAACTTGTTATGAGATTGTGGATATGTTTATAGCAGTACGTAATAGYAAAATCTATCCACTTGATTCTTATATCCTTTCAAAAATATAATCAAAACTGAAAGGACATATGTAAGTCCTAACTTACAACACATTGCATCCTTTTAAAATATTTTAGCTCTCAGAAACATGCTCTCTTCACCTATAACTGAGAACGCCCAGAGGTTGTTGTGTTCCTGTGGAGAGCAGCGTATGAATTCTGCACAGTCTGCATTTCTTGCTGGGTTTGCACCAAAAGACTGGGGCGCACACAGTGTCATTGCTCCCAGGAGTGATTCTGTCTGTATYGAAAGATAAAATTTTCAACCCTTTGCCTCCAAAGCACCTATTTTGTGGCACATATCTAAAGTGCGAGAAACTCCGAGCAAACTTGCTGCAAACATTTATGTTCTCTAGATTAAGTCCATGCCAGAGTTTTCTCTCCTCTTCTACCTCATGCAGTAGCAGTTAGCAAGACCGTGCTTATCCCTTACACACACACACACACACATACATCATTTAAAAATATCCCCATTAATTGATGATAAATGACAGGTTTTCATCGTGCTTGCTCTACAGGAAGAGTGCCTGATGTGTTCTAGGAACATGCACAAGTGTAGCCAGACACTGGTGTGCACCTGCAAACCACATGTGGAATCACAGACTCCCAATCTGCAACTTCGAGGATTTATTGGTACCAAGGATCGACTTTTAACTGCTGCCAGGACCACAGCAGAAAGTAACTGYCAGCTTCACGATACACGGAACCCATAGAGATTTCATCTTTTTCCTAAAAGAAGGTTTAGAGTCTGAGACACTGAGTCATATCACTTCCTATTTGAAAGGAAATGCTGTCCATGATYCCAGCAAGTAAGCATTTTGAGCATTTCCTTCTCAGGAAGTGAGTAGGAAGAACATCTGAATCTGGAAACGCAGTGTGCTGCAGAGCTTGAAAATCAGGAAGGAAGCGGGTGGGGGGCTGTGGCTATCTCATGGGATACAATTGTTCTGAGGACCCTTTACTAGGGCTAAGTCTGAAAGCAGAGATCACCACGTTCTGCATATTTCAGGGCATGAAAAAAGAGTCATTCCTTAGAATGGATAGTGTAACATTCCCTGGAAATGGCAAAATGTGACTAGTTACCCAGTCTGCTGAAAGACCCCCAGTCTGCTGAAAGATGACAGAATGAGGTCCACCTTTTAAACTTAAGGTCCACTTTTAAGAATTATATTCTGATAGTTAGCATTTGACTATATTCTAATGATATTATATTCAAGAATATTTAATATCATATTCAAATATATATAATCCTGATTAATACTATATACTGTATTATCTAATAGCAAAGGGCTATGGGATTTCTGCAGCCTTTTAGTATAACAAAAAGCTCTAAGTGACACAGAGACAAATATTCCCTAATGGGACAGTAAGCTTGTTCAAGCTCCATTATGGCATGACACTAAAACTGCTAAGTACAAGCATTGCTTATCTGGAGTGACTCGGTGTAACTTAAACCTAGAAAACCTTCTKTATTACACAGAAGGACATAAGTTTATTCTGCTCCAGGAAGCCTAATATTTTTCCCAGCATTACTAGCCACAATCTAATGATTTTCTATTCCTAAGTTTATGTTCCCTTCCCTAACATTTCATGGATTTTATATTACACAAGGGAATAATTTTTAATTATCTCAAATTCCTGTGTGTGAAAAAAGTGTTGTAGGAGAGAACAGGCAAGTGAAAGACTGTTCTACTTTGAGGAAAAAAAAAACATTTTTGAGGTCAATTATTCTTCTATTATTTCTTTCTATTAGTGAGCACAGCCCTTATTTGGAAAACATATTCTGGCTTTCCCAATAAATTATAAAACAATTCTATTTGTTCAAAGAGGAAAAAATAGAAAAAAAGAAAGAGGGAAAACATTTAGTATCAAGCAACATCACTAAATACTCTCAGTGGAGAAGGAGAAATCTTTTTGTCTGCAGATCACTGAAATCATAGTGAAGGTAAAAGAAAACCAGAGAATCCTTGTAAAACACTGAGAGACTACATATTAGATGACATGGAGATCTTGATAAAAAATTCTTAATCAAAGCAAAAAGTTGAATTAATTTAGTTACATTGTTTGGTCTATGATGGTCCCAGAAACTTAGACAGAAATTACCTTTAAACCTTTCTAAAAAAAACTTTCTTCACCCTGTATTCCCTTCTCTCCTAACTTAGCCTTTGCTCATGGAAGGGGTAAACAAGAAYGGAGGAAAAAAAAAATCCCTAGCCTCTAATCAAAACATTACTTTGAACAAGTCACACCCAAGATGCCAGAGAGTTATCCTGTAATCACCTGATTCCTTTTCCTTGCAAGAAAACACAATCTGTAGCCAGTGGAAGTCCACTTAATTCCAATATGCTCAAAAATACCCATGGTAAAAATCAATTCTAACAGGCAGAAAGTAAACAACTACTTTATTTCTACACCTCAGCATTCCCAGAGGAGAGGAGACAAGCCTGCTCTGTCTCTGTCTCTTCTTGTCCCCCCACTCAGTAGTCTCTAAATATGATCTGTGAGAAAGCAGATGATGTGGACGGAGAAGACGGTATAAACTTTTTCTCACTGCTTTTGGCTATGGCAAGATTCTGAAACATGGTGTAAAGAGAAAGGCCACAGTGTAGGAGTCTGGGGAGCAGGAAGGTAAGAAGTCCCCAAAAAATTCCATCTAGCTCTTGCCTTTTTCAGTCATTTTCTGCCCTTTGCCATTCTGACCTACATCTCAAGAGTTTCTTCTTTAGCAATCAGTTGGTAAAGACCAGCATGTGCTTGAGTGAGTGAATAAGCATGTGTTTGAGGAAAGGGGTACTTTTCCCAAATCATGGAAAGTGGGATTCTGTAGGTGTAGATGTTTGGAGGCTGCAGCGCAGATCATCAAGTGACCCTTTGGTATGTGAGTTGCACAGACAAGGCTGGATTCCAAAAATAAAAATGAGAGGTGTGGCAACGTAAAAATCTGAGAATTGCAGGGTGAGGAAGAAGGGTGAATGTGCAGGAGAACTGACTGCCCTGTGCACAACTCAGAAAAAGCCCTTTGGGCAGAAGGCTGTGATGATTTCCATGCAACCATTGCCCTGGGCTGGAAAGTTCAGTTTGAAATATTTTCCCAAGATGCCACATGTTTGAGTAACCACCAATTTTATGGATGAAGAGAAATCCTTCTTTTCTGTTAAATTTGACAAAATGCTTTTCCCTCTTCCTCAAAATATATGGAAGAATAGTATGTTTAGAATAACAGGACCCAATCATCAATCTGAAAGTCTATAAGCAAGCAGATAATTTTATAAGGTCAATATAGAGTACAGCCAACAGGAGAACTGGGTAGTAACTCCCAAATCTCTTAACTTTGAAGATGAAGGAGACACTCTCTGTGGATTAAGGCATCCTTGACATCCACTCACGTTCTCCTTTGGGAGGCAGTCTAAAGAGATTTTGATGTGACCTGGAAATTTGTAGTGAACCTGAAGCTGACACTGCACTAAGTAGTGGCCCATGGCATGTGAAATATCATATATGCCCCCAGAAAACCAAAAATTCTGGGAGGGAGGAAAGGGAAGAACGAAAAGAAAGCCTAGTTTCTTCCTATACTGATAGTAGGATTTTCTGTGTTAAAATGGATTCACATCTGTTATCCCTTTCCTTGCTCACATTGCTATTTTCATACTCTGCTCAACAGACTGTGAAATCTAAGTCAGATCCTCATCTGGGATAATTGGTTGTAGCTCCATTACTTCTGATGAAACTGTGCTGATTTATAGCAGCTGGGAATTTGGCCTGCTCCATTTATTATATAAATGCAGCTTCTGCCATTAATAAAAAAGACATGCTGCTTTGCAGACACTTCACTCATTAATTATGATTTCAAATGTTTAAAAGCTATCCATGCAGTACTCCATGATACAAAATTTTGAGCATTGCGTCACAGATCTTGCAACCCAAGAGAATTTGAACCTTGCCTGTGGGCCCCAGAGGAGCAGTAGAGACCTTTCTGCTATGAAGAACAGAGGTAAGAAGTGGTTGTGGAAAGGATGGAAATGGGAAAGGGTAATGTTCAAACTGCCTCACTTAACTTTTGCCTGTAGGTTAGAAACTCAGTTTCTCCAAACAGCCTGAACAGCTGGAGAGAGAAAACCTCTTAAGCAAGTTACTTTGGACATGGACTTGGTTGAAATTCTAGCTATTTTGTTTCAGTACCCCACTGCCATAAGCTCTATTAACCACAGATGTTGCTCTCATCCAATTTCCTGTAAATCCTATGTTTTTCCTGAAAGATAAACACAAATAAGATATGCATCATTTTACCTGTGTTTGCTGGGGACCTATATCCATGTTTTTCAGGAGGCTGTTTAAGAAGGCTGTGACACTCTCCCATGGATAGATACTGTTGGAACCATCAAGCACTATGACAATATCCAATTGGGTCTTACACTCTGCAACACAAATTGACACATAAGAATTGACACAAACGAGGATCAAATACAGACTCACAGCTCCACTTTCTGTTGTGATTGGTAAGAGAAAGATGCCCTTCACTAGTGGGGCTGAAACATCCTGTTTCATGCAAACTGTAATTCAACAAATTTGCATATTTTACATGGTTTGGCACTCCCTTTATGAGCAAAGCACCTTTTATAAGCAGAAATTTAAGAACAGGATTACATAATCACATAATTGGAATACTTATCAGTTAACCCCTGCTTCCTTCAATTTTGCACTCTTCCTGCTTGATTTTCCAGTGGACCAGGTCTTTAAGATTTTATCTGTATTACCAGATTGAGTATTAGGTCTTGACAGCATACCGTCATTATTTGAAAGGAATCTTTTGGCCATAAATGAAAAACATAAGCAACTATTTTTAGCAGTTCTGTTTGGATATTGCATAGCTCTCTAATGATTGTTTATACTGAGATAAATTCCAAAATTAGCAAGAATTTAGGTTATATACTGACAATGAAAACATTTACTCAACTTGGTAATGCTGGTAGCTAAGGAAAGTGGTTCATGCTTTTTGGTATGCCTATGTGTATACATTCGTCTCACTTGGCACTTGGCATTTTCAGACACAGAAGAATTCCTGTGGCATGCATACCTTGCACAGATGGAGCAATGGCCTCGACAGTTTCAAAAGTGGAGCTGACATTAGAGCAAACTCCAGTTGTGTAATGCAAACGCCCACACTTATAAGCATAAAGTGGTCCACATGCCTTTAAAAGATGAAAAAGGATGAAATGTTTGATATGATACCTGGGGAAAATACAGACTTATTTCAAAGCTGGCAATAACTCTTTTCTTACCAGAAAGCCTCCTTTTGGGTTAGTCACTAAGGTTGTTCCAAGAGTCATGTTTTCTTTTACTTCCATGACGTTAGGAACTGAAGTAGCAGCTATAAATAGATTAAAATGTTAAGCATTTGAGAACGTGAAAACAAAATGTTAAAGTATATATCCGCTAATATAGAGCTTCCAGATTCTAAAATAAAGCACAGACTGACATTGGTTCCATCAAGTATTTTAACACCCTTCCTCCTCCCCTTCAATTGCAAAGAACAAGAAAAAAAATCCAAGACTGGCTTTTATCCCAGAAAATTTGTCTGGGTCGCTGTCTCAAATAGTTTTCTTTAACCGCAAAAAAAAAAAAAAAAAAAAAAAAANAAAAAAAAAGAGTAAAAATAACAGCACAATGAAAGCAAGAGATTACTGTTCACAAAGTTTTGTTCATTAGGAAAAAAAACAACACAAAACGAAAAAGCCACATCCTGTCCTGGTATATATGAATTACAACTTAACTTATATTTATTTATAAATTTTTGTTTTACATTGCTGACACTATTTTTTCAAAGAAAAAGAGGAACTAGAAAATAAATGAAATATCTTTATAGTGGAAAGTTTCAGGTTTGTAGGAAATCTCTTCTTGTCTGCAGGAAGGATCTCTTAACATGAGCAAAAGATTGGTGATTCCTGAACTTTACTAGGGTTTCTCCTGCCTTTTCTGTCTAGCTGGTTTCTGAAGAACTTACTGATGGCATTTATGGAGGCTTTTGGCTTCAAAAAGCCTTGAAAAGGGTAAGCCATGAAACTGTACTCCACAGCATTCCTGCCAGGACTGCTGACCACAGTCAATTAATGCCAGTCATAATAATGTTTTGGCAGCAGAGGCCACTGTCCATTCTAAAATTATCAGCATGTTTCCAAAGGCCAATGAGATGCTTTAAAAGAAATATTTTTTGATGTTTACAAACACAACTTCCTTCAGATTTGGTTCAGGAGTCCTAAAAAAAAATTTGCTACAGAAACAATATTTGAGTCAAAAATCACAAACGCGGCATACATTATTCCTCCAGATGACACAACTTTTATTTTCTTTCATACCTGGTAAGTTCAGTTTTATGCAGGGTGACTGGCTGCTCCTTCCTACAGGGCATTTGTATACATCTCCTGTTCTTTTCTCAGGTTGGCCAACTAATGGGGAACCAATAAGCACCCTGCAAATAAAATATATTGTTTAAACATTCTTTATTCTTAAAAAGCATGTGAGACAGCAAATATAAAAACTTACAGAAAACACAGCTACTACAAGCTCTCTGAAGAGTGCCGGATATAGCAAGAAAAGCACCTACTATGTCAGCTCAGGTGCAGGGAAAAGAGTCCTTTTTATTTCCCCTTTAAGGAAGGACACTGAAAGGAAGCTTGCTTATATAACATATGACCCAATAGATAACACTAAAAAAAAAAAAACACTGGAAAATAAAAGAAGTGTTAGTGGATGAAAAGTACTACAAGCAATAAAGAAAATATCTGCTTTATATAATATCTCCTCAGTCATTGCCGTAATTTTAGAAAATAACGTGTTTTTAATGCTAGGGAGAGACCAAATGCCAAGGAAGACCCTAACAGGTACCTCAGGAAAACTTGTCTCAAATAATGTAAGCCAGCAGTATAAGATATATTTTCCTTCTCTCTCTAATGATAAAATACTATTATCACAATTAATAAAAGCAATATTTTCAAGGCCTTTTTACCCTGCGTACAATGTTAATTTCTTTTTTCAAAATGTGATATGATCAGAAATTACTTTTCTCACTTCTAAATCCAGAAAAATTTTTCAGGGGGAAATTCTGTTGTTTAAAGATGCAGACTGTTTCGTTCTCAAATCTTCATTAGCTATATGAAATATCTCAGGAACTATCTCTCAACAGATAACTGACTGCACTTAATGTGTACATAATTCAAATTAAGTTAGAATTCACAGCATACATTGGAAACATAAAATCCATCCATTGAGAATATTTCAATAGGATTTGCTTCTAGACATTCACTTGATTGCAAAGAGTTACAGAGTGAATAATTTCTACTCTTAATCATACTTTTAAAAGTCCAGATAGAAGATATTTTAATAAGATAGGTAAATATATGTAAAGTATAGCCTGTGAAGACATAGAAGGAAAAGTTAAACTCAGGATTCAGTTCAGCCTCTAAATAAACATACTGGAACATCTCATGGTGTTCCCTCAGGATTTTTTAAATTAATAACTTCTAAAGCAAAATATAATGCTCTGAGTATGGTTCTGTCTGATTTTTTCAGGTGACATGCTGCAACATATGTTTTTACACTAAAACTCAGAAGTGGGCACCACACACTTTTAAGCATCCCTGCTTTCCATTTAACCACGGAGAAGCCGAGTGTGAATGACATTCCAGCAGAGATCAGTGCTCGGGAGGACTCTGGTCCCTGCTGCTCTTTTCTCAGAAAGAAAGAGCAAGTCCTATGAACAGGTGGAAGTGGTTTGAAAGATTATTTTGTTTATTAGCACTGGGGGTATTTTAGGAGACTTGAGGAAAAAAAGAGAGGTTTACCAAACTCTTATCTTTGCGATATCTGGGTGGTGTTTTAACACCTGAGGAAGTATCTCAAAGCTTTCCTGTTCTATGCAGATTTCCTGTTCCGTGCATTACTGTAGTGAAAGAAATTTCAAAGCTTGAWAATTTAACAGCAACTATAGAATTTAATGTCAGAGACGCTTAGGTCAAGCAGGTTAATTTGGAATATTGCCTTCTTTCAAGTATTGGTGCAGTAGCCATTTCTGGCTTGTATTATTTTTTGCTTTTGAAAGGTTTAGTCTGCAAAATCCCAGCTCCTAGAATGGATGAAGTTTCCTGAAGGCCTAAATTAGCCAAAGATGATCAGTATCACTCATTCACAACCACAGTGCACATCTGTATTTAAGKATCCTGCAAGCCACACAATCAAGAACAACTATATTCAAAAGCAGACAGCACTTTCACTCTGTAGGACARCCTCTGGGACAAATAGCAAGGGCTGTGTCATCATGGCAGACAGACAAACTGCCAGACGCCAACAGGCCTGGCCCTCGCCAGGGGGAATTGCTCAGGCCCGGAACGAYGGTCCCACCTGCAGCCAAGCCTCGCAGTCACAGGCTGTCCGGAGGGGTCATTGGGTTTACAGAAAATGTGAAATTACTGGAGCAGCTCTTGCAAAAACAGAGAAATCTGCATAAAGTGATGTCTCAGGATTCCCCAGCYGTTTTATCAGCTGCTCCTTTACTCAGCCCTGCAGCCTGGCAATGACCCATGAAGGTTCGTCTGGTTGTTCATAGGAGCAAAAATCCTCTGGAGCTGCTTACTGAGAGACTGAGAGGCAGTGATAGCGAGCACGTCAAAATGCAAGGTCTAATTTAGGAGAACAGCTACAAGGAAAAAGGATGTTAAGAAAGCCCCAGGTTCTAGTAACAAATAAAAGGCATTATTAGCCAGGCAAAAGGGGAGGACAGAGTACTGTGTCAGTAAATACAAAAAAAAAAAAAAAAAAAAAAAAAAAAAAAAAAAAAAGGAGAAGATAACCACTGACAAAACCCATTGGAAAAAAAACAGAATACAGATAAGTAAAGTAGAAGCAATTTCACTCGTGATACATTAACATAGGAAGAGATAAATTATTTTATTCAATAAATCAGGGTGGGGAGTAGACTCAGACACGACATAAAATTTTCCTTTCCAACAAAGTGATGTTTTTTCTCCTTTTAGTAATTTGTTATGTCTTTGAGGAAAGGAATGAAGGTACATCTTTCAGTTTCTCCAGTCTTCTTCAGGTTTCTTTGAGATTGTCAATCAGCTTAAGACCAAGACTAACAGAATCCAACCCTCATTTACAAAGAATAACACATAAATACTAGTATAATGCTACCAATAGCATATAAATAATTATATAGCATCTGAATTGCAGAATATCTGGYAATTTGGAGCTTGCACTTAAGAATGACTTACCATTTTCCTTCCTCATTTTCATATTGTTGAACTGTGTACCCAAACATGTCTTCAAGAGGCCCACTGAAGGTCATTGCATTTTTCACATCAACATTGGAACAGCTGATCAGTTGAAAGAGAGCTTAAAAAAAAAAAAAGAAATTATGGGTGTATATATATACAAAATGCATATATGTATATACAATACGTATAAAAATAACTTAATAATATGCATAAAAGCCAAGACCTTTAAGAAAGCAAGGATCCATTATGCTTAATGATAATATAAGACAGCTGTTAAAAGTGGCACTTTGGACACAAATAGTTTTAGTTTTCTAACTTCCTCTTGTAACATTTAAAACTTCCTTTTAAAAAAAAATGCAATGTGAATACTGTCTTTGAAAACTTAATTTCAGATTTCAGTAATTTTGTTTCAGCTCTGAAATTATGAAAATCTGTAATAGTTTAAAGGAAGAGCTGCTTGAATTTCAGAGAGATGTAAAATAAGCAAGAGGGCCTTTTCCTCATTAATAGCTAAGGCAATAAACTGTACTCTGAGCTAATCCACACACAAAGTTCAGTTATTTTGTATTTACTACAGCTGGTAATGACTTCAGGGATTTATTTATTTATTTATTTATTTTACAGATATAAGCCACTGGTCTTCTGTACCCTGAAAAATTGTGTTACATAAGGTAGCATTGTTTCTCATTTCTTAAACATATTTACAATAATATTAAAATAACATTAACATTAGTAAAATGACATTTTTTTACCTTTACTCACTTTTCTTCCCATTCATCTCTAATGTGATTAATTCCCAAAAAATTGTTTCTGCTCATATTCAAGATAGTATTTGAGAATTTCAGAATATTTTTCAGAATATTTCAGAATATTTAAGGTTGGAAGGGACCTCTACAGATCATCTAGTCCAACCTTCCTGCTCAAGCAGGCACACCTAGAGCATGTAAATTAACTAACTTGTTTTCAACTTCACTAAAAATGAAGGAAAATCTTTAGCCATTTAGGAAATTTTACTCTGTATTGGAGAAAAAACAGTTATTTTAACTGTTAATTCTATTTTAGTGTGCCTGTAAATCTTTCATATTTGGAAGACAGCACAAGAAATATTTTGTATAAGCAGATGTTATCTCAAAAGTGTCCATATGTGACTATTTACAGAAATCCATAATCTACCCACTTAGGGAAAGTCACTTTAAAATAGTGTTGGACTATAATTAAAGATCAGTCATGAAAGCAGTTTCCTCTTTAGATTGATTTCCTGTACACTAATATTCAATGACAATGAAAATACTGCAAAAATTTGCTACACAGCAAAGTTTAGCAAGACAAATTGGATAGTGAAAAATCTGAGCTAGAAGCAATAATGATATCCCATTGTGAAACTCCTTAAAAAGCTYATATCGATATAGATATGCATAGATAAAAAATACAGTTATTTAGCAATTATTCAGTCTATTTTTTTTCCCTGCAATTATCTTTCTACCCTTGTGCTGTTGAAGTCAACTTCAAAGCCAGCTATTGCACTCCCTGCTGCACAGCTGGGCATCCTCAATCTTGAAGAGTCAAAAAGTAGCTGTATTTGTAGAATGACTTCAACTTGTCATAAACATAGGTAAACAAAACTTTAATTTAGAGAACCATTTCATGATCATTTGCTGACATTAAACAGCTACATTAAAATATGCAAAACTGTAATATTTGCTCCATCTCGAAACATCCAGATACTAAAATACCCCGTCTCATTCATCGCTGAAGTGACTGTTCACACAGAGAATTCACTACTATTTTTAAGCTCCCAAATGGTTGGGGCTAATCTGCCTTTCTTAACATTTTATTTCCTATGCAATGTAAAATTATCACAAAGGACTATTTATCAGTTAGTAGGTATTTCTGGTTTCACTGAACTGCTAAATAAATAAATAAATGTAAACCCAGCAACAACAAAAAAAACACTTGTGTTATTTTAGTTTTTCTTCCTTTAATCAGAACAAGGAAACATAGAGAAGTGAATAAATTGAAACAGAGTTCACTTTCATTCCTCAGAAAAAAATCATGGCAAGCAATAAGAATATTCCCCCAAATAGGCAAAGAGAAGTAATTTGCTGGAAAACGAATTCCTGCATTTATTGTCTTCCTTAGACCTTAAAGATTTGCGTTAAATAAGTTCTGCTCTGCCTGTACAYGTGCAAGTGTTTTCCTCTGACATCAAAGGATAATTAAACTGACAAAATCTGCCTTTCAAAAATTCAGAGTTAACGTTGGTTTCAAGACATTCTGTTAAACCTCAGGCTACTGTTATTTTTGATCCTGTGTTGGGATTCAGTTCGCTTCACATACACTCCCATGCTACCTCTTTGACAATTAAACAGTTCTAATGAAATATATTGCTAAAAGAATAATTTAAGTTTCTTATTTAATCAAAGAAGAAAAGTAGATGCTAAAATGTCATCTTGCCTCAAAGATCTCCAGAACCCTACTCATATTATTCTCAAATAACATGGATAGAATCTCCTCCAAGGGGTCTTCAAAGATGTGTTCCCACTCCCCTGCTTACCTTATGACATTTAACCAATGGCTGTTTGTTACTACCCATCAAGCCCTCATGATTGAGTGAGGTCAAACTGGAATTTAGAAGTAGTTATAATGGTAAAGAGCATCATCCTCTCCTTTCCAGCCCCATCCTCCAAAATAGATAAATAGATAAATAAACAAACAAACAAACAAATAAATAAATAAAAACAGCTAGAGGAGTCAGGAGGGGCTGGAGGGGAGGTGGGTCTCCACCCAACACTCCAACTATAGCAACTATAGGTGTGGATGAAGACCGTCCTGGATGCGAGCTGTGACGTAGATTCAACGGGTAACTGAGCCCATGAAAGGGAAAGCTACTGCAGGTTACAGAAAATACATCTGGCTAAGGAAATCCCCYCAGCTGGAAACATTCAGAAGTTGGAAGAATACGCAAGGGTAATATTACTCATGCTTGTCTACGTCTTTTTCCTGTCTAGGCATCTACTTATATTTACTGCTAGAGAGAGCCTAGACTAACGGCAGTCTTGATTTGATCCAGTATGGCTGCCCTCAAGCTCTCTCAACTTCTTATTCTACTTCAGGCAAAAATCAGATGCTCCAGAGTCTGAGTTTGTGTGCAACTGAGGTAGCATGCTTTAACCTGAAGATGTATTGTATGATCTTCCATGCAAAGGCACAAGGAGCCAAAAGGTTTTGAATAAAAGCATCACAACCAGAAGTRTAAGATAAGCTTATAAATAATTAACAATTTTAAAGCTTTCTTACTACATTTTCCACAGATTCTACAACAGGAAATCCTGCTAGTCAAACATGCGTTCAAATCCACAAATGKTAAAAAGAAAGTAGAGTTACAGTCACCTCCCACCATTACATAGTCAACTGATAATGACTTATATCCTCTACCTACCTAGAGTAGCCTGGCATTCACAATTTGTTTGATTTTTAGTGCAAAGAATAATGCACAACCTAAGATGATAATTCATTTAAAAACATTAATGACAAAATCATATTTTATATTAACAACAATATTTAGCTTGTACTCTTTCAAACTTGCAATTTCTGTCTGATATGTACGCATTCTCATCTGTCTCTAGTAAGGCTGTGTAGACAAAGTGCAAAGACTATTGGCAGAAGCAGTGGAAAATGTTGAGCTGAAGAGAATTCTTTTGAGATTTATGTGGATTAAGGAGAAAAAAAAACATTTTTGTGAGCCATGTAGCATTTAACTACATACTTAATCACAATAACTAAAATTATCAGGATTTTGAAATGCATCACATGGTATTAACAGAATCAYTAGTACAAAATTCAAAGAATTACAGAGAAATGCTGCAAACGAATGTATATCAGGATATAAAACTCTCATCTCAGTTTGCATGCTCTTGTTGAGTAAGAAACTGGGCAGCAAGAAGACCTAGCACAACCTCCCTCTCACTGCTGAGTAGAAACAAATTAGACAACTGTCTAGTGCATGAGGCATTCCTTGCTGAGCACAGTTTGTACCTACACCCCAAAGGTTAACAGTCACCGAGACAACAACCCAAATATTATTTCTATTACAAACCTAAAGTAGCAGCACATACTTGTCCAGTAGCCACTAAAACAAGCTTTTCAGTTACGGGATCTTTTAACTAGGCTTTCATGCTGAGCCTGCCTGGTTCTTCTGCCTCTAAACAGTTCGTGCAAAAATGCTTAGAACTGAATTTCCTGGCACTTGTCTGTGTGCATATGGCCCAGTCACTGTAATCTCTAGCAGAGCACTGCAGAATAAGTAGTCATGCTTTCCCAGAATAGATGCATATAAACACAACCAGCACAGTAGCGCGGAGTCTAACATTTGGCTCTTTTCTGATGTAAAAAGCACCACAAATCACCCACAATAAGTGACATCATGTTTACTGACCCAGAAAAGAAAGTAAATTYAGGATAGTTTATTTTATCCATGTACTTGTACTTGTATCCATGTATCTAGGGCAAATAACCATTGCATTCTCTGTAAGTCATGATTATTCTGAGAAATGCCTTTTTTTTTCCTCCAAAACTTGAACATCAAATGCATTTTTTTTCCCCTTTCCCCTTTACAGGGTTTACGTGGGACAATACTTCCCAATACTGTTACCTTTGTTCTATCTCTCCTTTATTAGAACAGCACTTCAAACGCCTTAACTAACTCCTCYGCATTTTGCAAGAAAAAAACATTATTATAAGCAATTCTGATTGTAATAAAGGAGGAGAACAAAACAAGTAGAAATATCTTGCAAAAGTACATATAACCGGAAAATATTGGGAAACTCCCCAAAAAAAGCTTTTAGAAGAGAGGAAAAAAAAACCCATCTTACATCCATTCCTGGCAATAGAAGAGGACAAACAAATTTAAGATGAAGATTAAAATATTTTATAGAGTTCTGTTATTCATGCATCTCTTACAAAAGAAAATACCTCTATAGTATCTTGTGTAGCACACAGTACATCAAAAAACACGGCAAGCACATTTTAAAGACCTGCAAAGAGAGAAGTGAATTTGACAAAGAGGTAATAATAGTTAAGTAATACTAGGAAAGATGATTGAGTTTGTCAGTTAGTCAT